GAATTTATTCCTTGTCTACAAGAAGGTAAGCGAGAGGGAAGACAATGTCTTCCTTTTTCTCCTGCAAAATGACGGGTTGGTTTGCTATAATGTCACTGAAATGGAATAGGTATCATAATGGCTTTAATACGTCATTAATAGGTTTTAATAGAAGGTGGAAGGGCATACAAATGGTGTTTTGGCGTTTAAATGCTGGTGAGTGGCGTATTAATATGCGAATTGAAGTCATTGTTGGGTTAATTGAGCAAATTGAAATGGGTGTTGTTATTTGTCGCCCCAAATTACTACTCGTCGCCCGAAAAAAATATTAAAAAATTGTAAATTTACAAAAATATCCCTGTGGTAAAAAAAATGTTAATGGAAAAAATGTATTTAAACGTCTAATAACAAAGCTCGGAAGTCAAAGAAACGTCTAGAAGTTAAGCTTGGCAGCCAAAGAAACGTCTAGCAAAGAAGCCCGACTGTGAAAACAAACGTCCAAATGCGAAGCCCGACTCTGAAGAGAAACGTCTAAATAAGAAGGGGCAACACATTTAAAACTTTTAAATTGCAAGCTTATTCTGCTGCTAAACGTCTAACTGGAAAGCTTGAGACCATGTGAAACGTCCAAGAGTTAAGCTTTAAAGCATACCAAACGTCCTTTATCAAAGTTGCCTATGAAAGCAAACGTCCAGAAGCTAAGCTTGGAAGCCAGGCAAACGTTCAACATGGAAGCTCCACTGTGAAAACAAACGTCCAGGAGCTAAGCTTGGAACTCAAGTAAACATCTAATTGCAAAGCTTGAGGCGACGCAAAATGTCCAAGAGTTAAGCATTAAAGCATACCAAATGTTCTTGTAGATGCATAAAAATTGTGGTCCATCAAATGGCGCCACGTGGAAATTAATTTATTAAAAATCAAGCCATATTTTCTATTTATATTTTAGGAATTTCCATAAATTTAATTCCTAAATTTAAATAGTTAATTAATTGATATTTTATTATTTTAATTCTTGACCAATCAATTATTGCCAAGTGTCAAATCATATCTCTTGGTAATAAATCACATGTCTTCTAAAAGATCTTGGGAGATCTAGGTAGATCTAAAAGATCTTATGTGAATCATCATGGACCAATCAAATCGCGTCCTACGATTCTTAAATTTGGTAGGGTTCTCCCTCCTACACCTATAAATAGGGGCTCTCCCTAATGTAACAAAAAACACTTCATAGAATCTTTCCGCAAGTACTCAAATCTCTAAATACCGAACAAGCGAAGCGAAGCGTTTGATCCGAAATCAAGGCGTTGGCCCTCCGAATAATAGAGATTGTAATCTGCTATATTTATTTTGATTCGAGAAATTCATTTGAATAATATTTTTCGTGTTTATAAATATAATTCCATGTGTAGATTCTGCAGGTTTCGAATTGGTATAAATTGGAGTTGTGTAGCTTGAGTTGTTGCCATTTTACTAAACTGCTACCCATTCGAAAAGTAGTTCTCCGGACTGTTTTGTGAACTAAATGTTTATTACTTAACCTCATTGATAATTTCATATTTTTCCAATGGAGTCTTCAGAAAAGTTGTAGGAAATTGAGTTAGCTAACTTAGAGTTTTTGAATTTCAGTAATATCATGTTTGTAGCTCCTGTTATCTTGGAATTACTGAAGTGCTGTAAGTTGTTCTTTTTCTTTCCGGACTGCAGCTATGTTTTGTGTTGTTGTTGATTTATCTTTGTGGCGATGTCAGAATTTGCTAAAGTTGTCTTCACAAAAATTGTATCTTTATTTCTTACCTTTCTATGAGTACCAGATTCATATTTTTATCATGACTGTAGCTCGGGTTATCCTCAAAATACTGTCATCCTGTTTGAATGTTTTTTACTGCACCCTTATGTGAATGTTTGTTGATTTATCATGTGGATAATGACCTCGTCTGATTCTAAGTTGTTCTTGAGAGTTGTAGATATATGTCTTAGGAATCACATGCCACTGGTTTCATGTTATTTCGACTTATGTGCTGCTAGTTGTGATCATTTATAAATTGCTGCGCATATCATGTTTTACAAAATCACTTGTTGATTTTCGAAAATGGCACGCACTATCGAAATGCACGATTATATGACCTAAGTAATTTATTTCTTGATCCATGTAGTATGTTTGATCCTTAGATGTCCTTAGAGTTAAAAGTTAAGCAAGCTAAGATATCCACCAACCGAAAAGACTTAAACATAAAATGTTTTCAAAGTATATATATATATATATATATATATATATATATATATATGTGTGTATGTATAAGACTAGCGAGTAGCAGTAAAGCCTTGATAAGATTCTAAGACAAGTCCCAATGAATGTAGGTAATTGAGGAGTCCAGCCTCGACCTAAATGGCTTCATTTTTTAGTCCAATAGAAATGGCCTCTAAAAAATATGCACCTCTACTTTGATTAACTAAAAAATGAGGCCATTTCTATTGGACTAATAGTCTAAGTGAGATCAATTCACAACTATGAGAATTATTTGTAAACTAATAAAAACTTACGATTCTATTAAAATATGATTCAATTAAAAAAATATTTTGTCATTAATAAATATGATTACGATTTTATTATTAAAATTATATTAAAAATAAATGTATATCATAAAATAAAAATTCTATATCCTTTTAAAGATTTGTTGCATGGGTTGATGTTAGGTTGATTATTGTAAGATATGTGGGAAAGTAGTTTGGGTGATATGTGGAAAAAATCAAATTATTGAGGAAGATTTCACGTTGGACGTTTCTGGGTACATAAAGCTTTCCTTAAAGGAGTTTGTTGTTGTCCTAAGCTTTCTTCTGGGACGTTTGTTTGGATTCAAAGCATAACTATAAGACGTTCCTTAAAGACTTAAGCTTCCTTCTGGAACGTTTATTTGACTTCCAAGCATAGCTCCAGGACGTTTGTTTTCACAATGGAGCTTCCATGTTGGACGTTTGCTTGGATACCAAGCATAGCTTCTGGACGTTTGCTTTCATAGGCAATTTTCAATAGAGAACGTTTGGTATGCTTTAAAGCTTAACTCTTGGACGTTTCACGTGGCCTCAAGCTTCCCAGATAGATGTTTACTTGACTTCCAAGCTTAGCTCTTGGACGTTTGTTTTCACAGTGGAGCTTCCATGTTAGACGTTTGCTTTTATAGGCAAGCATTAATAAGGGACGTTTGGTGTGCTTTAAAGCTTTTCTCTTGGACGTTTCTCGTGGCCCCAAGCTTTCCAGTTGGACGTTTAGCGGCAGAAGAAGCTTGCAATTTTAAAGTTTTAAATTTGTTGCCCCTTCCCATTTAGACGTTTCTCTTCAGAGTCAGGCTTCGCATTTTGACGTTTTCTTTGCTTCTAAGCTTAGCTCTTGGACGTTTGTTTTCACAGTCGGGCTTCAATGTTGGACGTTTCTTTGACATTCAAGCTTAGCTTCTGGACGTTTATCTTTAGAGTCGGGCTTCACATTTGGACGTTTCCTTTGCTGACCGAGCTTAGTTGATAGACGTTTGAATGTCTTTTTCTAGTAACTTTTTTTTTACCACAGGGATATTTTTGTAAATTTATCATTTTTTATTATTTTTTTCGGGCGACAAGTAGTAATTTGGGGCGACAAATAGCAATCCCGTAAATAATCTATATCTATTCTATATATATATATAATAATAATAATAATAATAAGAATTACCATTTATTAAAAATAGTAATAAAAAAATAGGTCAGAATTTAATACATCCTATAAATAGTAAGTTTTATTATTTTTCTTATTTTTTTCTTTAAAAATCATACAACATTAAATGGTACCTTAAATTTCGGGCTTTAGTTCATTTTATTATTTAAAAAATACAGCTAAGATTTATTAAGTGTGCATGTTTTTATTTTTATTTTTTCTTAGAAACAATGAACAATATTAAAATCTCGGTCTCTATATCTATGAAATCTCAATTCAACATATAACAAAAGTTTTAGAATCTCGGTATTTATATTTGTGCCTTTAAAAAAAATATTTACTAAAACCAGTTCTGAAAACCTTATATTTACTGTACATTGATAAATACCTTGATCGCTTCGATGACGGTCCAGTTCTGAAATAAAATGTGTTACTTAGATATCTAACAATTTATAAATTCAAATGTTTAAACTAATTGATAAATAATTTATAAATCTCTATTTTATTTAAATATGTAATTTTATTTAAAATAATTTTAAATATACCAAAATTTATTTAGAAAATCGTGTCGTTCCTACCAATCCAACCGACTGGTGTTAACGGATTCGAGAGCAAATATTTTATTCCAGCGAACTAGACTGGTTATAAACCGGTTCTCGGTCTATCCGGTTGGACTGTGTCCAACCCAGTTTAATTTAAAAACAATGAGTAAATCATGATTAATGTTATTATATATTAATTTATAATACAATCATAATATTGTTTTCTCGTGCATCGCATGGACCACGCACTAGTAGCGTAAATGTGTGGGGTGGGGGACAATCGGAGAGAAGTGTATATATTTTGATTTTGTTCACATTTTTTTTGGTATGATTAATTTTGAATAAGGTGTGGTATGATTAGTTGTTAGTGGAATTTTGAGTTTATATTAAAATAATATTTAAAATAAAATAATTAAAATTGATTTGATGTAAAAGTAGGAGAGATGTGATACGAAGTGATAGTTAGTTAAAATTATGTGAATTGATGAATAATGAATTAAGATTGATGTATTGTATAAGAATGATTGAGTAAAATTATTGAATTATATTAATAATATTGAAGATATTGAGATTGAGTTAAAGTTAGTTAAATTTGAATACAAATGAGTGATTAGTTAAAAAAATGATTGAATTTTTTTTGGATAAATTTATATCCAAGCATCCCTAGGGTTTCGTATGTTTCCAACTACCTTAATCTATTTTAATGAGTGTATTGTATAATTTTTTTTTTTATAATTATGCAATTATTTTTAATTTTGTTGAGT